TCCGCTCACACAGCCTATAGCCCTCGATCCGCAGCAGCGAGCTCGGATTGACCGGTCCCAAATAGCGCGCGAGCGCATTGCGGACTTCTACACTATGAACATCAATTTCTACCCCAGAGAATCGCATTTGATCACATTCCGTGATCCGTGGAGCTTCCCAGTGCTCTTCCACCCGAGTTGCAACAATTTGATTCGGGGTCATTTGGAAGAATTGGCTCAAAAGGTAAGATGCTATCCATGTATGCCAATTGGGCTTGCTGACGTTGAATCGAGGTGGTATCTCTTTGCGCTTCTTTAGGTGAATACCCTATAATTCGGTACTATCGGCCCCGATCTCCGACTCACGAGGCTGGAGTTATGTGTTCTCACTTGGCGCGTTTCATTCAGAACGAATTGGATCAGTTCGCGCAGCATCAGCGTGACTTTCCGCCTCAAACAAACCGCCCCCGAGGCGTACTGCTCGTAGTAGACCGTTCCATGGACTTGTTCGCACCCCTCATTCACGAGTTTACATACCAGGCTATGGTCCATGATCTTCTTCCTGTCACGGATGGAGACAAGGTTACCTACAAAACGGTTTTGAACCAGGGAAACCAAAATGAGGAGGTCAAGGAGATGGAAATTGGCGAGCATGATCGAGTCTGGGTGACCTACCGCCATATGCATATGAAGGATGTGCTTGGGAAACTGGGCGAGGACTTTGCCAAATTCCGAGCAGCGCACCCTCAGTTTGCAGATGAGTGAGTTTCAACGGGCCATCCCTATACACGGACCACTAACTTGAGATTTTAGTAACGACAAGTCTAATGTAAACACCATCAAGGATATGTTGGGCGGACTGACAGAGTTCCAAGAGGGTAAAAGTGCCTACACGCTGCACCTCAACATGGCACAAGAGTGTATGAACTACTTCCAGTCCCGCAAACTCTTGGAAGTGAGCTCCACCGAGCAGTCATTCGCCACGGGCCTGGATGAGAACTACAAAAAGGCAAAGAACCTAGCAGGGCAACTCGTGCAGCTCCTCGATGACGACTCAGTCGTACAACCAGATCGGCTTCGACTCATACTTTTGTACATCATGTATCGCGGCGGATTGTTAGGTGGTGACATTCGCAAACTCATGGCGCATGCTGGACTCCCACCAAAAGACGGCGGGGTGATTGCCAACCTCGAACTCCTTGGGGTTCGTATCGAGAAGCCTCTCAAGGATGAAAAGCCACCAGTGCAGCCTCTTTTCACCCGACGAAACCCACCACCCGAATCAGAGGAGCTCAGCCTGAGCCGGTATGAGTTAGCTATCAAGCAGATGCTTGAAGATCAGATTCAGGGCAATCTGGACGCGACTACCTTCCCCTTCACACGTCCGCACACCGAGACTGACGGCGCCATAGCTGCCCAGGAAATACAGTCACAGCAGGCCTCTTTGCGCAGCGCAAAACCCACCTGGGCGCGCACAAGATCCGTCGACCAGCCTCGACAACGCATAATCGTCTTCATGGCCGGTGGTGCTACCTACGGCGAGTCACGAGCTTGTTATGAAGTCTCAGCGGCATACAACCGGGACGTCTACCTTGCCACGACGCACATGCTGACCCCAGGTCTCTTCCTCCGCCAGGTAGGCGACCTTGGTGTTGACCGGCGTCGTCTCGACCTCCCATCCGAGCGCCCCAAACCTACTGCCCCGGCCCATCTCTTCGAGCGCGAGGCTCCCCCAGCCCCCAATCCGCCGCCACAGAAGAAGCCTGTGTCAACGGCACACCTCAACCCCCCAGCTCCGCCAGAGGCGCTGATGGCTGGTATGTCTCTAAACGGAAGCAGAAGCAGCCCTGCCTCATCTGGCAGCGGGAAGCCTGACAAGAAAGATAAGGACAAGAAGGAGAAAGAGAAAAAGGAGAAGAAGGAGAAAAAATACCGTTTCTTCAAGTAGCCTTCTCCATTCTCCATTCCTCTTGATTCCACCCTGTTTCTTGTGTCCTGCTGCATTCAGCGCTTTTGTGATACCATTCTTTTCCTTGTCTTTCTGTTGGTCAGGTCTGGTCCCGAGCATTCACGGCGCTATTCTCAGCGGTTTTTTATTTCTCTCCTAAGATGAGTCCTATAAGACTTAACATGGGAATGTTTTCACTACACTCCAATTTATGCTAGGTAGAATCTGGACACAGTTTCAAGTTGCACTACCTAGTACACGGTAATTATTCAAGTCAAGCCTTAGACAGAAACAAACATTGCATCTCATTCAAAACTGATATCCACATAAAACCACAACATTACAACTAGAATATCAGGACCTGTGGGATTGACGCCAAAAATTGACCTGAGGCCAGAAACGACTAGGGCGAATCAATTTAGTTCTTGATAACATCACTTTTAATAGCCTAGATCAACTCCGGCTCTAGACAATAAATTTCCGGGATATTCCTCCTTCTAAAGAGACTTCTATAGAGAAAGAGCAACTGTCGTCCTCGAACAATCGATGATTCCAGCGGTAGTCACATATATCATGTCAACAGCTGGGGCCGAAATCTATCAAAAGGCACACCACGTCCACAAGCATATGGAAGCCTGTGGATTACAGATCACTAGCTAGCTTAGAAAATATCCTGATCTGGGCCGATGCATACACTTCGGCGATATCGCCCAACTTTGTCGTGTGTCAAGAAAATATATTTCCGCAGATAATGCCGCGGGCTTTTGTTCTCGGCAATATCGCCATGCTGAAACTCCGATTGCGAATGTCCGAGATGAACTATATAACCAATAACTGCGCGCACGATTTGTATACTTACTTAGTAAAGACAGTTCAAGCATGGAAACTAGTTGGTTTTGCTCCATCTATATCTTGAATCTTAACAATTGCTTCCCTGTTCTTCCTGTCGTTCCCAACATGGCTGTCGTTCCCGAGGCCACTGTCTCCAACAATGAGATCCCTCAGCAAGTCAAGAATTCACAGGCATCCTCTCGACGCATGTCCTGGATCCAATATCTTTTCTTCCACGCACGTCTCAACGACAATGTCTGCAACCAGAATTACACTGGCAAAGGTACAGAAGATGACCCATACATTGTCGATTACCTGCACAATGACCACCAAGACGCCATGAATTTTTCCAATAGGCGAAAATGGGCCATCTCCATTCTCCAGTCTCTATCCACGTTTGTGGTGACCTTTTCCAGCTCGGTGTATGTGAGCGGCATCGGGGGCATCGAGCAGCAATTTAACGTGTCGGAGGAGGTGGCCACGTTGGGCTTGTCGCTCTTCGTGTTAGGGTTCGCCGTAGGACCGCTGATATGGGCGCCTCTTTCGGAGATGTATGGCCGCAAGTCCATCTATGTGATTTCGTTCATGGCGTACACGGCGTTCAGCGTGGCGGCGGCCTGCTCGCCCAATATCGCGGCCTTGCTGGTTCTTCGCTTCTTTGCTAGCGCATTTGGTTCGTCGTCGATGACCAATACCGGTGGTGTCATTGCCGACATGTTTAGCAAGACACAGCGCGGAGTCGCAACGGGATTTTTTGTCACAGCTCCTTTTCTGGGACCTGCGCTTGGTAAGTGGTGGAAGATGCCCTTCTTACATGTTGCCATTTCCTGCCATTTCTGCCCTGATACACTTGAAACTTACTAAATTGTTTCTCATTTTAGGGCCCCTTGCCGGTGGTTTTCTTGCTGAGAAACAGGGTTGGCGCTGGCCTCTCGGTTTAATCGCTATAATGGCAGGCGTGGTCTCGATTATCACGATGCTGATCACCCCCGAAACATACGCACCGTTAATTCTGCGACGTCGAGCCGAAGCCCTCTCCCGAGTGACAGGACGAGTATATGTGTCTAGGATCAATGCGGGAAAGCCGCCCAAGACCTTCTCGCAGGAGCTATTGATCTCTCTCACGCGCCCCTGGATCTTGTTATTCCGCGAGCCCATTGTCTTGCTGACGTCGCTGTACGTCGCTATCATCTATGGCACACTTTACATGTTCTTTGCCGGGTTTCCTATCGTCTTCCAATATACTCGAGGCTGGAGCCAGGGCATCGCCGGACTTCCGTTTATCGGCGTCGCCATTGGCGTCTGTCTTGCCACGCTGGCGGCCGGTGTAGACAACAAACGCTATGTGCGTCTTTGCAAGGAGATCGAGGCAGGAGGAGGCACAGTAGAGCCAGAAGCCAGACTGAGTACGGCTATGGTAGGCTCTTTCGTGGTTCCGATTGGATTGTTCATGTTTGCCTGGACGACGTATCCATCGGTGCACTGGATTGTACCCATTATCGGTGCCGTGTTCTTCTCGTGTGGACTCGTCATGGTCTTCATTTCGCTGATGAGTTACCTGATCGACTCTTGTAAGTTTTGATTGTTGCTCTGTAACCTTATGCAACAATGCACATGCTCACCTGTGTACAGATACCGTCTATGCTGCTTCTGTTATGGCGGCCAACTCAGTGGTTCGGTCCTTGTTCGGCACTGCGTTTCCGTTGTTTACCACTCAAATGTACGAGAAGCTCGGAAATCAATGGGCGAGCTCCATTCCTGCATTCCTAGTTCTTGCGTGCGTGCCTTTCCCGTTTCTTTTCTACAAGTACGGCTCGCAGATACGCAGCAAGTGCAAGTATTCCCTCGAAGCAGCAAAGGTGCTGGAGACGATGAGCCGTCGGCAAGGCGCCATGATTGTAGGTGAGCCAAATGGGCCAGAGAGTAAGGTTGAAGAGACTGTTTAGATCACATTAAATAGCGGGGGATCCGCTACGCCCCCAAATCAGCTTGGATGGCAACATAAATTTAATTTTACAGGAGGATTATTTCCAATATATCTATAATGTAGCATCGAAACTCCGTACATGTACGAAGCGGCCGGGAACCTGGGAATATAAATGGGGGGCCTCCATGGCTGAATTCAAGGATTATGTGAGTCCCCGATCGGACCGGAACTTGAATCACCGAGCCTCGAAAGACTTAAAACAAAGCTTACCCCGTCCGCGCAATTCCAAGGCTGCAACAAACACACTTCTCCCGGATGAATCCTTCTGGGGCCAAGCCAACCGGCGTGTCCGGACAAGCCGGAAAGCGTGCCCTCAAAGCCAATAAGGCATGTGTGCCCTGCCGTGCACGCAAGACCAAATGCGATGCCGCCGAGATTGGCCTCCCCTGCAGCTGTTGTACCAGCAGGCAGTGTGTCAAGGACTGTGTACTACCGGTCCGTAAGGGTCGGGCTAGGTGAGTTGATTAATGACAGGATGGCTCATGGTTCATCCTAGTAGTTCTTTTAGGCGCGTGCTGACTTGGATGGGCTCCAAGGAAATTAAACCATGTTTCACCGATCCCTGATCATGTACGAGTATGTTTTAGATGATTGACAGTGTTCCAATTCAAAATCTCAATCGATCTAATCGATCTAATCAATCTAATCACTCGAACAGTCGGCCCAGCCTTCGACTTCCGATCCTCTGGATGGCCAAAGCCCACGTCAGGCTGAGCTAGATCTGTTTTATCTCAATATCTTAAACGATGCCGGGGAGAAGACTACACAATCTAGTCGACACCACCCCATTTCCAGCACTCCCTATCGCCCAAGCCCGGAATACAGTTTTAGTACTCGGAATTGTCGATGGGCCAAGCAACCTCAATTGGACGACATTGACAACGAATTTCTTGCCAAGAAGGGGGTATTTGATCTACCTCCTTCGCGCTACCTGTGAGACCAATCTTATAATCCTCTATCTTATTCGGGGTTTCGCATTTGCCTCTACTCACTGACAAAACATAACAGAGATTCCCTCGTTAAGACATACTTTGACCATGTCTACCCCTTTGCTCCGGTGATCAATAGAGTTGATTTTATCCGCGGCTATCAATCTGGCCACTGCTCATTGTTCTTGCTATACGTCATATTGGCACCGGCCAGTGTCCATGCGCCAGCAGACGTGCTATCCGCCTGCGGCTTTGCTAGCCGCTCGGCCGCGCAAGAGTTGTTTTTTTCCAAGGCCAAGCTGCTTCACGACTTTTCCGCTGAAGATGACCCATTGTTGATGCTGCAGGGATCCATCATCTTGTGCATGGTGATTCTCGACCACCCTACCGACCGAGACTTTGGCTACTGGTTCCACAACGCAATCCGTCTTGCCACTAAGCTTGACATACGCAACGTGTACGTTTCCTACTCCTGGACTATGGCACCTGGAATGAGTATTGCGGGTATTAACTGCCTACGGATTTTTCCACAGGTGTGCTCGAGAAGACAAACCTGGTACAGTCTTCAAGTTGTATAGAAGGATCTGGTGGGCTCTCTACGTACGTCCTTCTTCTCGTCACTATGTTCTGTTCTTCCTGCATTATGTTTACTGTAGCTACGTAGACTTTAGACATTTTTCATGTCTCTGTCAATACTAGACGCTCGCGACTACTCGCAAATACCTCCACGATCAGACTGAGGACGGAAGATGACTGGGAAGTGGAGGTTAGCTCGGAAGTATCATCCGACTTGCTATCACCAGTCACGCCTCAACAAAGGGCCTTGCCTGTTGTTCAATGCGAGTTGTCTCGAATATGTACGTGCTGGTTTGATTCGATTCTTTGTTGTTACGCTCTATCCTTCTTATCATCAACCCATAACTGAAACCACAAGCATGGCTGACTCTTATTTAGTCGGACAGTGTTTGTCCAACGTGACAACCAAGCCACAGCAAGATCCCCGCCAGATGTTTCACTCGCTTGATTCATGGCGCAAATCTCTCCCTGTCAAGATGCATATGAATGAGAACATTGGAACCGATGTGTACTATCTGGCTATGCAAGCCATGGGCTACAGATTTGAATGCATCTTGTGTCGATTGATACGACGTTGTTGGCAGCAGACCCATCATGCGGACTGGAGCGAGTGGGTCAAACAGCGGCTTCGGTCTGCTATTTTGGAGTTGGACACAATTACCAAAAGGGTTCTGGCGAGTGGTACCCTCCAGGACTTTCCCATATCTTTGTATGTGCCGTCCATTTTCTTTTCCCCATTCTCCGATCTACAGAGCGCAAAAAAATGGAGATCTAACGATGGACTTACCAGTATAACCACAATAATTGCACTGCTCGCTCTACACATCGAATCGGCCCTCGATACAGCCGAGACAGATCTCGTTCGTTCGATGGCCCAAATCTCTATTAGCCAGACAATGCTTGTTCTCACACAGGGAAAAGAAATACCAGCCCTGAAACGAGCCCTGCCATTATTCGAGGAGATTCTTGCCAAGAAAAATCTGTACTTGATTCCACCCAACAGTGTCGGTCAAGTACAAGATAACACCATGGTGGATGCAGACGCTTCGCTGCATACACAGGCAGAGCAGTATGAGAATAATCCGTTGCTCTATGATGATTTTCTAGGATTTGATTTATTGGATGAATGGCAGATTGGGCAAATGGATTTTACTGGCAGTGGTTAATTCGGCATGGTTTCCCAGGGAACGCATGTCATTTTTGGGCTATCTCTAGTTCTATCTCTATGTATCTCGTTTCCTAAGTTGTACCGGGGCTGGAGGCAGGTGCCTCAATTGCTTCCTATTGCTGTATAATTAATATAGAGGCTTCTGAGACTGAGAGACCTTCTTCGGCGGGTATCTGCCTCCGGGATCTAGTGCTTCTACTTCTTATTGGCGGTGCGTAATTCGCTTACTTCTTTCTCGAGAAAAGCGGCGGATTGTATAGTGATCTAGTAGGCTTTGGAAACCTAGTTGATCGCTCAATTAAGCGGGCTCGGAGGGCTTCTTGATCTTATACAAAGTAACGCTTTGATTGACAAAGCTTACTTTTGTAATTGAATATAGTTTGACAGCGTTTTTGGGTTCTAATCGCTACCCATTTAAAGAATAACAAATAACAATAGGGGTATCATCAAGCACAAAAAACAAACAAAATGAGGATATCTAACTCTCCTCCATCCATCCATAAAATCCACGACCTAAATCCCCTCCCCAAGATACTGTAAAACCTCATCACTCTGATAAAAAGCCTTCCTCAGCCTTTCCGCCCTCTTCTTATCTTCCGCGGCTTTATTCCGCGCCTGCTTGGAATTAAGCTTCTGCACCTTCACCGGCGGCGCCGGTCTAGGCGGCAGCGGATCTCCATCCTGATCAAGCCCAGTCCCCAACCCAGCCGTACCATGCTTGACGCGAGGTTTGATAGGTTCACGAATACCCTCACGACCCGACGCGCCGAGCCCAAGCCTACTATCAGGATCCCAGCCGTATGTAGAGAGATATCGGAGACCTGTGCGCGTGCGGTCGAGATGCGATGGCGGGTGGGAGTGAGCGAGGCAGATTTGATGCGCGAGGGAGGCTTCGTGCGGGCGAAGGTTTTGGTCTGTTGTGTCTGCTGGGGCTTGTGGTGGGAGAGGTAGCTGGCACACGTCACAGTATTCTTGGGCCGCGGGCGCCACTGTGGATGGAGGCGGGAATATGTCTGAAGTTGGCGGTGCGGACTGCGTACGAATTGGTGGTGATTCTGCGCGCTGAGTTGGTGTATGTGTTGATGTACTTGGGGCTGATTGGCCCATCACAATAGAGAGGTATGTGTCTGCGATGCTAGTCCCGGAGAGAGAGGGAGTTGGGGCTGTTGTGGTGTCTAGATTGGACGAGCGCACGAACTGCACGCGTTTGCGGCGAATTCCGGAGCTGAAGGGGCGCTGCTGCTCCGGTGGGAGGAAATAGTCTTCGTCCTCAGAGGCCATGGTTGGTACTTGTAGAGCTGTCAAGGCAAAGAAAGAAAGAAGAAAGAGGGTTGAGGGGCGGAGCGGAATTAGAGGGTGGCGATAAGGAATAAGATAAGCGGAGATACGTGTACATTGGAGAAATCCCTTAGGAGACACACACCTGTCCTCCCTCTTCCCATCTTCATTTCTCAATTAAATATGCCCATCCCTATCATTGCCCAGGGTCTGCGGGATGGCGTCTCATCCATCCCGTATGCTTGGACAATCCTCCGCATAGCACCATGGGTGCTAGCCCTTGCGGCGCTGAAATACTATTTTGAAGGAGCCCGCAACAGCTCCGAGCGAATGATGCGATCAAAAGTGATAATGGTAACGGTAAGACACCCCTCCAGCACCACATCACTACCCAATTAACTGGGCTGACAAAAACCAAAATCCATCAGGGGGGCACCTCCGGGATAGGCGCAGAAGTAGTCCGCGGGCTCGCAACTCGCGGCGCCCAAGTAATCCTCCTAACCCGCCAACCACCCTCCGACCTCTACCTCTCCGAATACATCGACGACCTCCGCACCAGCACAAAAAACCCTCTCATCTACGCCGAACAAGTCGACCTCTCCTCCCTGCACTCAATCCGCCTCTTCGCAACAAAATGGATCGACAATATCCCACCCCGTCGACTAGACTGCATAATCCTCGCCGGCGGAACAGCCGAGCCCTCCAAACCCCGAGCCCTAACAATAGACGGCATTGACCTAGAATGGCAAACAAACTACCTCGCAAACTTCCACCTCCTTAGCATCCTCAGCCCAGCCCTCCGCGCGCAGCCCGCACACCGCGACGTGCGCGTCATCTTCGCAACATGCTCCGGCTATATCGGCGGTGACTTGAAAAATCTGGACTCCATGGCGCGCGGGAAGCAGAAGGTGGTATCGAAGCGCACGAAGACGTCTCCGGCGCTGTACGCGCAGCCCAAGGGCGTGTACGCGCTCAGCAAGCTTGCGCTGACTATCTTCGCGCACTCGTTCCAGCGGCATTTGAATGCTTACGAGAGGCCGGATAGTCTGCCGCCGTGTACGCGGGTTATCGTTGTTGACCCTGGGGTGACGCGGACTCCGGGCATGCGGCGCTGGTTGACTGGTGGGTCGTTGTGGGGTCTTTGGTTGTACTTGCTCACTTGGCCTCTCTGGTGGCTGCTACTTAAGTCGCCTGTTCAGGGTGCGCAGAGTATTCTGTATGCGGCGATGGAGCAGCAGTATGGGCGGGGTGTGGGTGGGTGGTTCATTAAGGAGTGTCGGGAGATGGATTATGCGCGGGTGGATGTGCGCAATGATGAGGTTGGGAAGAAGCTCTGGGGGTTCAGTGAGAAGATGGTTGAGGAGGCGGAGAAGCAGAGTGCTGTTATAAGGGCTTTTGAGAAGAAGGAGGCCGAGGTCGAGAAGCAGAAGGCTGAGGCTGAGAAGGTGAAGAAGGAGGCGGCCGAGAAGAAGGGGAAGAAGGCTGATGGGTCGAGGAGGAGTCGCAAGGCTCAGAAATGAGTGAGATATGTGTATACCTGTTTTGTAGGTATGGTGTGATATATAGACGGAGTTGAGGGCTACATTCTTCCGTGAACAGAGAATAAGCTCAAATTTATAGACCATTCATCACAAAAAGGAAATTCGTTTCATGTATACTACCAACAAGATCCACGACTTCTATATCAACAAAGACAAGATCATTACAAACCACAATTCACGTGTGCTACATCAGTACCCGAACTAAATTCACTTCTTAAGCTGAGCGAGCAGCTCAGCAGGGGGCTCCTGGCGGTAACCCTCGGGGTTGTTCTTAGTCCAGAGCCAGAGATCCTCGCAAGCCTGCTCGAGGGTACGTTCAGCCTTCCAGCCGAGCTCGGTGTGGGCGCGGGTGGGGTTGGCAGTGAGGTTGAGGACATCGCCAGCGCGACGGGGAGCAACCTCGTAGGGCTGGTCCTTTCCGACAGCGGTGGAGAAGGCGCGGATCATCTCGTAGACAGTGCTGCCCTTGCCGGTACCCAAGTTCCAAGCGCGCACACCGGGGTTGTTGGCACGCAGGTATTTCAGGGCCTTGAGGTGGCCGTCTGCGAGATCTAGAATGTGAATGTAATCGCGGATGGCGGTACCGTCGTGCGAGGCGTAGTCTATGATGGTGTTAGATCAGGGAGTTTCAATAATGGGAAGAAGGGGCTTGCATACCATCACCAAAGACCATCAACTTCTCGCGCTTGCCGGTAGCGACCTGGGCAAGCAGGGGGAGCAGGTTGTAGGGGACACCCTGGGGGTCCTCGCCCATAATACCGCTGGGGTGAGCACCGGCAGGGTTGAAGTAGCGGAGCAGAGCACCGTTCCACTTCTTGGCCTCAGCCTCGTTACCTGCCTTGATGGCATTGTTGCGCTGGGCGTTGATCGCGTCGGTGATGGCGGTCTCGACGGCGAACTTGGTGTTGCCGTAGGGGTTGGTAGGGCCTAGAGGGCAGTCCTCAGGGATGGGGATCATGTTGGGGAAGCGGGTGGCATCGCCGTAGACGGTGGCGGAGCTGGAGAAGACAATGTTGGTAACATTGTGCTTCACCATGGAGCGCAGGAGGTTGATGGTGCCGTAGACGTTGACCAGCCAGTAGTCCAGGGGCTTCTCGCCAGACTCGCCAACGGCCTGGATAAAGACAATTGGATCAGCTACTGGATCGAAGAGTCTACGGTTTATGCTTTCTTATTTCATCGGGTACACACCTTCAGGGCAGCGAAGTGGATAACGCTGTCAATGTCGGGGTGAGCTTCGAACACTTGGTCGAAGCTGTTCTCCACGGTGACATCGAGCTTGATGAACTCGGCCTTCTTGCCGCAGATCAGCTCAATACGGTGGAGGGCCTCGACTGAAGAGTTGTACAGGTTGTCGGCAACGACGACCTTGTAGCCAGCCTCAAGGAGGGCCAGGGTGGTGAACGAGCCAATGTAGCCCGTGCCACTTGCGGGGAATTAGCTCACTATAGGATCCCAAATAGGTAATTCAACCACTTACCCAGCAACAAGAACAGAACCAGCAGACATGATTAAATTCCGTGTAATAATTGATGGTAGGAAGATGGGGAAGAGTACGGGGAGAGTACGGAGTAGAATGCGGACGAGGGGCAGCTTTTTAAGGGGAAATTGAAGGGCGGGATGGCCCTCACCACGTGGATCTGCGATGATGCGGCCTGGTGGTTTGATATTCATCTTGTTTTACATTTATTTACATTTTCGTCCACTGATCTACATGTTTGCACCTCTAATTTCCCCTTCGCTTCCAAGTGAGGTTATCATTGTTGACGCGAACATTATGTACATCAAGTATGTGTTATGATGGCGAGCGTGGCGGTGAAAACAACCCTGAGTCTCGAAACGGGCAAGGATATGCAAGGATATGCAAAGACGGGCAAAGATGTGGGAAGATGCAAAGAGAAGATCCCTGGAAAATCCCCGAAATTTCCCTGAAACTCCCGGATTCCCTGCAAACAACGTCGGCTCAACCCTGCCGAATAGGGACATATGCAAGGGGCAGTCCGTTCCCGGGGAACTCTCGGCAAAATCTTATTTACTGTGTTCATTAAATATAGAACATTCAAGTGAAATTGGTATTGGGGAAAAAAGTAAAATAAACCGGGTTCAGGCACATTAATGCAACCTGATTTTTGCCAGGGCCCCAGCTTCCCTGGAGATGTGGTAGATAGTGTGTTGCATT